ACAAAAGTTGGTGGTGGTGATAGTGGGGAGGGTGGTCTCAGCCTACAGTCTGATATCAATCAGCTAGTAAATTGGGCAAAGCAATGGCAGATGGAATTTAATCACAATAAGTGTGAGGTGATGCATCTTAGAAGGATAATCACAAGGTGGCATACACGATGCTTGGCTTCATTACCAGGGGCATAGAATTTAGGAGCAAGGAAGTCTTACAGCTTTATAAACGATCCTTAGTCCACAAATGGACTGTGTGGAGGAGTTTCACCAGGATATTGTCTGGGATGAAAAGTCTTAGTTAGGAGGAGAGACTGGATAGGCTGAGTTTGTTTATCTTGGTGCACAGAAGGCTGAGGGAGGATCTGATTGAAGTATACAAAAATATAACGGGCATAAAATGAACAGATTGAGAGAATCTCTTCCCCATGGCAGACATGTATAAGCCCAGAGGGCATAAGTTTAAGGTGAGGAGGAAGTAGTGTGAAGAGGTCGGAGGAAAGGTTTTTTGCCCAAAGGATGGTAGGAATATGGTGATGAAGGCAAGTATTCTCACAACATTCTGGAAACATCTGAATGAGTATTTAAAATGCCAAACCATAGTAGGCTATGGACCAAATGCAAGTAAATACAATTAGTAGGGAGTTTGGGGTTTGTTGGTCAGCATAGACATGGTGGACATAGGGCCTGTTACTGCGGTGTGACTCAATGACTCTAAAACCCCATTAAGTATTCCAACAAACACCTACTTGATAATAATGAGGGATGATGAAAGAATGGCAGATGTCCTTCCCTAAAAAGGACATTCGTGAACCAGATTGGTTTTTAGAACAAATTGACAGTTTCACGGTCCATTACAAAGACTAGCTTCATAATCCAGATTGACTAAGTGAATTCAAATTCCACCAGCTGCCATGTGAATTGAACCCATGTCCTCAGATTATGTGCCTGGCCTCTAGATTACTAACACAGTGCTATGACAAATAAACAGGACCTTCAGCTGAACTTTGTATGACTTAGGAGGAATGAATTTAAAAAATTTGATTAAAGTGAGATGGCATCCATTTCTGGGCAAATCCCAGAAATGCAAGTTATAAGAGCAAATTCTTAATTTCACTGATTGAATAATTATTGTAAACCGGCACTGCAAATAAAAGCCTCCTGGTGTATCTATAAAATTAAAAGTATCCCATGCTTCACAATAAAAAAAAAGAGAGAAAGATGCCAAGGAGTAACAAAAAGTATAGAGAAATGGCTGCGAGCACAGTTAAAGGTTTGGAATAAAATTTCAGAAGAAAGGGCTACTAAGACAAATAGATTTGTGAATAGTTCTGTAAAATATAGCTGAAAAATCTTTGATCAATAAAGCAGCTGCAGTAAACTACACTAGAGTCATCGTCAGAGCTAGGGTAGAGCTGGACCATTAGACAGTAGTTAAATTAGGCTATTATATTGACTTTTCTTAAAAAAATAATTTGAGAATGCTGCAATAGCTAGGAAAGGAAACAACATACAATCGAGCTAGAGTATTTTGTCCAGATTGAGTGCATCTTCCTCAGTCTGTTTCACCTTCGCATGTGCACACAAATGTTCCTATGTCATAATGGGATGGTAGGTAAGGTACAGAACTCTATTACTAATTGGTGTATACCAGTTGTTCTAAAAATTTGGAAATTTGTTTTGCAGCCACTAATAACATTGCTTACAGATCTGAATGCAGCTAAAGAGCAAGAGCTACCTAAAGAGATTGCCATGGATTTTGAACTATTTTCCCGCCAGTAGCTTCTTACCTTAAACACTACAAATTCTTGGTCAGTTGCAACTTATACCATCTTTCAGCTTATGTTGTCTTTCAGAAAACACAGTAGAATCCACCAGCAGAAAGGTGGCAATTGTCTGACAGACATTTTTCAATACAGTTTAATTGGAATACTTCTGAAAATTCAGGCTATTGGTCCACTGCAACTCAAAAACAGTATTACCTGTAATAGCCTAAAAACAGATCATCTTTATTGACTCCATCTGTACTTCCTGCTGCCTCAGGAAAGCAACCAACATAATCAAAGACTCCTCCCATTCTGGCTATACTCTCTTCCACCCTCTTCTGTCAGGCAGAAGATATAAAATCTTGAATACACAAGAATAGATTCAAGAACAGCTTCTAGAGGTATCGGACTTCTCAAATTCTGATCGCTCTTGCTTGACCTCTCTCTCTGCGCCTTCTCCACAGCCGTTAACACTGTATCCTGCACTGTCCTGCTACCCTGATGCACTTTGTACAGTACGATCTGCCCGTACAAAATACCACTTTTCACTTTCTCAGTACATGTAACAACAATAAGATCAAACATCCCACCTGGTCTTAGCAAGTGCAGCAACTTTACACTTGAGGGGTCCTAGGTTCAGATTTTAGGTGCACTAGCTGGTTATCACATGATATAACATTAGCTTAATATCAATAATGACGTTAGTGAGACAACGACCACAATTCAGCAGAGAGAATTGCAATTTTTTAATACGAGGGGGAGGGGGGTGGGAGTTTGGTCAACCAAACTGTGCAGTGTTGAAGATGATAGGAGACAGTCAAAATTAAACAAACAAGAATAACTAACTATACGTGACAGGAACAGAGCTTCAGGCACTAAAAATTAGGGCACTGAATCAAGTCTCATTAAACTCAATGAGTTTTGTCAGCTTAAAGGCAAAACATTAGAATTCTGAACATTTTTCCCCTCAATGCACTTTGGTTCAACAATGACAAAATATAGCACTTCCATGTGATGTGCAGCAAAACAAAATTTGATACCAGTCCTATTCAAACCACATTTGATCACAAGAATCCACACACTAGCAGACAGAAATAAAAACCATCTTTCCAACCATCTTTTAAAAACTAAATTCCACCAGTAAATATCATGCAAAACACTGTAGCTCGGTGTGTAGTTGACAGATAAAATAAACGCTAACAAAGATCATATTAGACCAACTATTCAAATCATGCCATGGTTATTTTCACATTATCTTGTGGGCATACTCAAACATGCCAACCTATAAAACTAGAGTTGCCAGCCTTGAAAAACCAACAATTCAAAAAACAAACTATAACAGAATCCACTTAACTGCAAAGTCAAAGTGACTTTACAAATTACAAGAAAATGAGAGTTCCTTTAAAGTGGAAAGGAGCAAAAATTGAAGCAGGTCTGGTGTATAGATCCTTTATTTGTTTAAATTTCATAGCATCATACAATGGAAAACACAGTATAACTTTTTACTTTCCCCTTTCATCCCAAAATTGCTATCAGTCAGGCGAATAACATCAAATCGGATCTCAGACACATTAAGTAATCAAATTGAGAAATGAAAACCTCAGGCCCAACAATGACTATTTTGGTTTAAGTGAGACTTCTAATCACCACACCAGCAGGAATTTTAGTAACACTACTTTTCCACAATTGGGAGTTTAGGAAGCAGAATTTTAGATTACAATTAAGTGATTTGCCACCAAATAAGCGTGATCATATAACTGAAAAACAGCTTCCAAGGAAAGGCTGCTCCATCAAGTCAATTGAGCAGATTAAATTTATCAACTTCGAGTTTCTTTTTAAATTAGTGCTTAGCAATCATGATTCAATCCGCTTTTCAGTAAAAGTCAAAGCCATTATATTTGCTATATACAGTTTTAAAATCACATGAAGACAAAACAAAAACTCTGATGCAGTTCCAGTAAGCAGTGAAAATTATTCACAAGATCCATTCAAAGCTAGCATATGCTTGCAGGAGAAACAAATGCCTGTAACTCAGGTATAGCATTGAATTTGTTATGCTCATATATTTTAATATGCTCAAGATACTGTCAAAATAATTCCTCCAAGTAACCAAACTCAGACAAAGCACACTATGATGGCAATGAGTGTTTTCACCTCTATTTAAACTCTACATACATCACATCCAACAAGCCCGTCTTGAATTTGATGGCTACATACCAAGTGTGCAAACCACGGACTAAAATCTAACTTTCATCCTCGATGCATCACTGCTTGCGACAGACTTTTAGTACAATTTGCTAGCAAATGACAATGCACCAGCAATGTAAAGACAAGACTGAACTTTAGTCTTTAGCAGTTCATTCTGTCTACTTATTTCACAAGACTCCCAAGTCTCAAGAAATATTTTTAACCAATCCAGGTAGTAATTTCAGCATAGATGCTACAATTAAATACCTTTGACATTTTCCTGTGACAATACTAACTGCAAACAGTTGCCTGCTGTTTGTTTCAGTGTATGACTCTCAGCCTGCCAAAGGGTTTCCTAACCTTCAACCTTGATCTCTAGTTTTTCACTTCCAGATCAAAACAGGTCATCCTGTATACATCAGCTGACCAAATTTCAACTACCTCCAAATTTGCTGTTTTGTACCTTTTCAAACAAGCTGCACAGATGAAGCTCAAAGCTAACGTTTGCATAAATAGGAAAGCTTGGCAATTATGATTTAAGAAAGGATGACTTTAGACTGGGAGATCAGAAACCTTCAATTACATTAAAATTTTGATACTTCCTTTCCCTGTACTCTGATGTAGAGACTTTTTGAATATCACAGGGTTGGTCCAAATGTATGAATACAAACATGCATGAGCACATACACACGTGAAGGCATACAAACACCTAGTTCAGACTGACAAGATACAGTCATGCACACATCTGAACAGACATTTACACCCAAATAGGCACATTCACAGATAAGGGTGTGCAAAATGTTGATTCAAGGAAATAACATCAACTGTTAATGGTAAGCATGAAGTGGGCAACAACAAAAATGAGGGATTAATCATTTCCTGAACACAAATGAAAAATCACCAGAAAAGTATGAACTAAATACATTACAGATTAATTGTTGCAGACTTGGAAAGAAACAAGCCAACCAAGAGGCACCATTTTCCCAGCCTGTACAGTGTCACAATCACGACAGGCATATATTTAGATGAAATCTAATGCATGCAACTCTTACCAACCTTTTTTTGTATTTCAAAGCCAGTTCTTTCCAATACACAACTTTTGCTTCTGGAGTTGCTGGTTCTGGGCTATCCTCACTATCCATGATGAAACGGACCTAAAAAGTGCAAAAAGGCATCACTATTAATAGCACTTCATAGAATTTTCTTGTGCAATAATTAAAGATACAACTGCACACAAATGGTGCACTGACTAGAAAAATTGAGAGTCAAGATCTTGTTCTCAAATCTTGAAGTAAATTCCATGGGGCAGTTATTCAAAAAAAGAGGGAGGCACAGTGGCTCAGTGGTTAGCACTGCTGCCTCACAGCACCAGGGACCAGAGTTCAATTCCACCCTCGAGCGACTGTATGTGTGGAGTTTGCACATTCTCCCCTTGTCTGCGTGGGTTTCCTCCCACAGTCTAAAGATGTGCAGGGTAGGTGGATTGGCCATGCTAAATTGTCCGCAGTGTCCAGGGATGTTTGGGTTAGACATGAGGAAATGCAGGAGTAGGGGAATGAGTCAGGGTGGGATGATCTTCGGAGAGGCGGTGTGGGCTTGTTGGGCCGAATGGCCTGTTTCTACACTGTAGGGATTCTACGGTTGCATTCACCCACTGCAATTAGTATAGAATAACATCATGTCCACCTCTACCAGACTGAAATTTGGCACTTGACAAAACACTTCACAGGCTTCAAATTTGACAACAAAATTCAGCTACTTTATATAATATTAAGGTGACACTCTTATGCACAATTTGAACTCATATCCTTCCAGGTCATTCACTCTGCTATTTCACTGAATGCCATGCATGAAAATATTTTAAAAAGTCTGTACTTATTCTTCACATTAATATCACACTTTCTATGAATCTATCTAGTCCTCATCCATATACTCACTTCCACATGGAGTTGCGAGATAAAAATCAGACTCAAGAAACTTACTTGAATAATTTTCCCCCTTAACTCAAGTGGCATATTGACCAACTGTAGCTCTTGACTGTTGCCCTGACCACAATTAATTCAACTCATCTTAGATGATGGATCAAACCTGAATTTGGAAATTTGCTGGATAAGCTTTCAGAACTGTCACAGGGAACTTTTCTCATATCACACTAATCTGATGTTACAATTACAATAGTTCTTCTTAACGGTGATAAATACTAAATACTCCCCTTCAAACCCTCTGCCAAAGTCCAAACCTGAAACCAAGACTCAATGTGACATGGCTTTGCTTCTACAGGCAGATTTTTTTTTCTTCCATATTCAACATTAAACTTAAAATTTTAATATTTATTGAAAATAGCCATTTCCTCTCTGCACACATTACCAGGATATTGCTGGTATGGAAGATTAAGTTATAAAGAAAGGCTGGAGCTTTTTTCCCCCTGGAGTATAGGAGGTTGAGGGGTGACCTTATAGAGGTTTTATAGAATCAGGATGGGCACAGATAAGGTGAATGGTAGTTGTGTTTTCCCTAGAATGGGGGATTTCAAGACTAGGGGACACATTTAAGGAGAGAGGAGAGAGATTTAAAACAAAAATACACAAGGGGCAAATCTCTTTAACACAGACGGTGATTCGCGTGTGGAATGAACTTCCCAAGGAAGTGGTGAATGTGGGCACAATTACAGCATTTAAAAAAACATTTGGATATTTACATGAATAGGAAAGGTTTGCAGGGATAAGGGCCAGGAGCAGGCAGGTAGGACTAGTTTAGTTGGGATTTTGTATGGCATGGAACATGGTCTGTTTCCATGCTGTATGACTCTAAGACTGAACCCTCAAATTGGATGAAGTCATCTTGGAAGAAAGAGCATTGCATGAAAAAAAAATTACACAAGGTAGCTCAGCAGTAACTTTGAAGAAGTCTTGTATTAACAGTCAATTGGCTTTAAACCAGCAGCATTTTGGACACCATTTATGCAGAAACACCACTGCAACTGAATGTCCTGAAAAATAAACCAACCAATGCCTTAGAGATAGTAGAAACTGCAGATGCTGGAAAATCTGAGATAACAAGGTGTAGAGCTGGATGAACACAGCAGGCCAAGCAGCATCATAGGAGCAGGAAGGCTGACAGTTCAGGCCTAGACCCTTTATCAGAAAAGGGTCTAGATGAAGGGTCATCAGATGAAGGGTCTAGGCCCGAAACGTCAGCCTTCCTGCTCCTACGATGCTGCTTGGCCTGCTGTGTTCATCCAGCTGTACACCTTGTTATCTCAACCAATGCCTTATACTGGATCTGTTATTTTTTTTAAAAATAAAGAAGCAAAGACAAACTGTTGTATATGCTGTATGAAGACACAAAAAATAAAACTTCAAGTTACCACACAATGTGAAATTGGAATAGCTCAGACTCTCAAAATACAAGAACGCATCTGCATGTTTAAAAGATTACAAAAGAAATCAAGTCACATAGCTTGAGAAGTCATTTTATACTGGTATTGGTACAGTGTCTTACATAAAAGAGGAGCCTTTTTCACAAAAGTACAAGATAAAGGTTGGTTCTCTTGAGTCACTTTGGAAATGTGAGGGTGGGGTTTCCTTAATTAATGTCACTTCCAAAAGAACTTGCAAACCAGGCCCCCTGATTTACCTCTAAACCATCTTTCCTGTATATGCTATCCTTCAGCTACAGAATCAGCTACCACATGCAGACTTCGCTCCCATTTCCCACTGCCCCACTGACACCTGTGGTGTCACAGCTACCTCTGTTACATTGAAAAAAGTGGAACAGCCAAAATTTCCTCTAACAAAACATCAAGATGAGAAAGCTGATTATGATCTGTCATTGCTATCTTATTTCTATCCCAGTCACAAGCAGAATCTGAAACAGATCATGTGAACTCTCGTGTCCAGTGTGATCTAGAGCTAACTTTAAACTAGTACTGTAATGATCACCAAGACTGTTTACAATCAAAATGCAACCCTACTCACCCTGTACACATCCTTGCGATCACCCCTCACCACCAACCCTTACTCTCACTCCACAATCAAAATCCCTAGCTAATTGGACTATTTGCATAGTTACACAGTTTAAGAGTATTTATCTAGCTTATCCTTAAATGGATTTATGCTAATCAACTCAACAAACCCTCCTGGCAGCAAGTTCCACATTCTAATCTTTCTCTGAATAAAAAAAATTCCCCTTGAATTCCCCATTTATTACAGAATCCCATAAATATGACTCCTAGCTTGGGTTATCCTCATGTTAACCTCCTCTATGTTAACATTTGCAAACTCTTATATAAAAAGCCTACATCAGGTCATTCCTCAGCCTCCACTTTCCTGGAGAAAAACACTTCCAGCCTGTTTAAATTACACTGAAGGATACAATCTCCATTCTGGAATTAGCTATTCTTCACCTCCTTTGCTAGCATCTCTTTCATAATATGGAGACCTAAACTGTTCATAGTTTCTCTTTCAATTCCTCCCACTTCCTACAGACAAAGGGGGTAGCCATGGGTACCCGCATGGGCCCAAGCTACGCCTGCCTCTTTGTAGGTTACGTGGAACAATCCCTCTTCCGTACCTACACCGGCCCTAAACCCCACCTCTTCCTCCGTTACATTGATGACTGTATCGGTGCCGCCTCGTGCTCCCACGAGGAGCTCGAACAGTTCATACACTTCACTAACACCTTCCACCCCAACCTTAAATTTACCTGGACCATCTCTAACACCTCTCTCCCCTTCCTGGACCTCTCTGTCTCCATATCGGGCAACCACCTAGAAACCGATATTCATTTCAAGCCCACCGACTCCCACAGCTACCTAGAATACTCCTCCTCCCACCCACCTTCCTGCAAAAATGCTATCCCCTATTCCCAATTCCTTCGCCTCCGCCGCATCTGCTCCCAGGATGAGGCATTCCACTCCCGTACATCTCAGTTGTCCTCGTTTTTCAAGGACCGTAACTTCCCCTCCTCGGTGGTCGAGAACGCCCTCAACCGTGTCTCCCACATCTCCCGCACCTCATCCCTCACACCCCGTCCACGCAATAAAAACCAAAAAAGAATCCCCCTCGTCCTCACGTACCACCCCACCAACCTCCGGATCCAACGCATCATCCTCCGACACTTCCGCCATCTGCAATCCGACCCCACCACCAAAGACATCTTTCCCTCCCCACCTTTATCTGCTTTCCGGAGGGACAACTCTCTCCGTGACTCCCTTGTCCGCTCCACACTCCCCTCCAGCTCCACCACACCCGGCACTTTTCCCTGCAACCGCAGGAAGTGCTACACCTGCCCCCATACCTCCTCCCTCACCCCCATCCCAGGCCCCAAGAAGACTTTCCACATCAAGCAGATGTTCACCTGCACATCTGCCAATGTGGTATACTGCATCCGCTGTACCCGGTGTGGCTTCCTCTACATCGGGGAAACCAAGCGGAGACTCGGGGACCGCTTTGCAGAACACTTACGCTCGGTTCGCAACAAACAACTGCACCTCCCGGTCGCGAACCATTTCAACTCCCCCTCCCATTCCTCAGACGACATGTCCATCCTGGGCCTCCTGCAGTCCTTTTCTGATGAAGGGTCTAGGCCCGAAACGTCAGCCTCTCTGCTCCTATGATGCTGCTTGGCCTGCTGTGTTCATCCAGCCCTGCACCTTGTTGTCTCTGTTCATAGTACTCCAGGTTTGACAGAAATTTAACATTACTTTTCAGGTCTATCCCTCGAGAAAGGAACCCAATGGCCTTAATAACCTGCATCACAGTCTGCAGCAATTTGTGCATTTGTAACTATAGATCCCTATGCTCATGTACCCATTTAGGTACTGTACTTGTTTTCCCAGGAGAATGTGACTTCAATCTTCCTACCAATACATAGCACCTCATTTTTCTATATTACAAGTTCACTTGCTAATTATGTGCCCATTTGGCAAGTCCTCCTGTACTTTGTCACATCTTCCTTTGCTTGAACTCCCAGGTGTCCTGCTCAACTTTAGTAATCACAAGTATCATTTAAAAAGTTCAAATCAATACATAAATGGGGGAGAAAACATTCTAACTGATAATGTGCTGGCCAGTAACCCAGCTTCAAAAGTCAACTTGCAAAGTAAGCCCAATTACAGATTAATGCGAACATCATACAGTGGTGAAAGTTACAC